ATATATATATATATATATATATATATATATATATATATATATTTATGTCTTTGTTTGACATTCGACAAAGCAGCAACACTCGCTACGCACGAGGCGCGCATAAGTCTATACAATGAACTATAGAGTGCTCAAGAACGTGGTACCCCGAACGAGCATAATATATGATTTCGATATTTTTTGTTGAGTTTTTTTCTCAAGGTCTTGCTTACTTTATTTCCTTCCACTCGTGAGCTCACTACGTGATCATAGTGATCAAACGTAGTGTCCAGGCCTTGTGACCCTGGATGGACACTTATTTTTATACACATATATATATATATATATATATATATATATATATATATATATATATATATATATATATATATATATATATATATATATATATATATATATAAAAGACAAACTTGAGTTACTTCGTTTAAAACATTTATTCACGACAAATTTGTTTCGTATGGCAAACTAGGCTTGCCACACTCATCAGGTGAATGGTGATATCGCGTATTTACATGATGTTATAACCTATAGGTAACTTGAGCTGTATATACAAATGTTTGACGTCATTAGGAAAGCGTAAATATATGCTTGTAATCTAACTACTGGCTACAGAGCAGGAATTTTTTCCTGTGCCTACATGCCGATATTAGTTCGTACTCGTCATTAGTTCGAATATATTTATATATATTTATATATTTATATATATTTATATATTTATATATTTATATATATTTATATATATTTATATATTTATATATATTTATATATTTATATATATTTATATATTTATATATATTTATATATTTATATATATTTATATATGAAAATGTTCTAGAGTGTGTATTATATAATTTTCATACCCAGCGCAAGCAGAAAGATGTTGTCTGCCGCGGCTGGGTCTCGAACCCGCGACCTTCGAATTACTAGATCAACGCTCTACCTACTGAGCTACACGGTCAGACGGATTTAAGACTGGAAATTATGAAATATATACTGAATGTCATAAACATACTCGTTTATATTAATTCAGCATCGAACAATACTAGTTCTGCAAGTGTTATGTTAATTGTGTAATTGTACACTCTGTAATATGTTAAGATGAAAATGTTCTAGACTGTGTGTATTATATAATTTCCATACCCAGCCGCGGCAGACAACATCTTTCTGCTTGCGCTGGGTATGGAAATTATATAATACACACTCTAGAACATTTTCATCTTAACATATTACAGAGTGTGCAATTACACAACTAACATAACACTTGCAGAACTAGTATTGTTCGATGCTGAATAAATATAAACGAGTATGTTTACGACATTCAGTATATATTTCATGATTTCCAGTCTTAAATCCGTATATATATATATATATATATATATATATATATATATATATATATATATATATATATATATATATATATATATATATATATATATATATATATATATATATGTATATATATATATATATATATATACTGAAGACTATATTCAAAAAAATAGTCGATGAGTTGACGTAAGGTAGAAGAGCGCTCAATACCATAATAAGTAGAGCGGAATTAATTCAGTCAAGGTTTGAATGTTTGCGTCGCTACTCTGAGTTTCACGCTTTACGCGATCATCAGGCAACTGACGTCTGGAAACTGAAGTCAGAAAAAAGTCAGTATACAATAAAGTGGTCCATTATGAAGAAAGTCAAAGCATACAAACCAGGATCTAAACGGTGTAATTTATGCCTCGAGGAGAAACTACTTATTATGAAAGCGAAGAAAACTGAATGCCTGAACAAACGCTCTGACTTGTTTTCCAAATGTAGACATGTAACCAGATACCTGCTTAATCAAGTTGTAAAATGATAACCTATATTTATTATGAATATTGAATAATATCTGTCAGTTGCCTGATGATCGCGTAAAGCGTGAAACTCAGAGTAGCGACGCAAACATTCAAACGTTGACTGATATATATATATATATATATATATATATAAAATTACTTTTGTCTCTTCACCTATAAATATCACTGTAGAGTGTAGTTGCTTAGTGTAACCTACTGTAGCATCATTTCTGCATGCATGATGACTAAAACGTAGTCGTCGAAAGCTTTTCCGCGGAGGTACCGTTGTTTTGTCTTTTGTAAAAATACTCAGTGCTTCCCATAATGAACAGGTATGTGCAAAGCTGGTTTCGCCGGCGACGATGCACCCAGAGTTATTTTCCCCTCCGTCGTCGGTCGTCCTCGCCATGAAGGTGTGATGGTTGGTACAGGACAGAAGGATTCGTATGTTGGCGACGAAGCTCAAAGTAAAAGAAGTATCCTTACCTTGAAACACCCCATCGAACACGGCATCGTCACAAACTGGGATGATATGGAAAAGGTAAGTTTTTGTGCTTTGTTTCATTTTCTTGATTTTGCTTCGACTTGTGGGTTAACGCCCATTCTTCTATTTGTTTCAGATCTGGCATCACACATTTTACAAGGAACTTCGAATAGCACCAGAAGAACGACCCGTCCTCCTTACTGAAGCTCCCAAAAACCCAAAACACAACCGAGAAAAAATGACACAGGTAAAAAGTACACGATTAATAATAGCCATATTTGTACTTTAAAAGATTGACGATAAATTCCCTGGGAATTAATTGATTTACAGCCAGAACCGTTGTTTCTAATGTCAAGTATTTCAGTATTCAAGAGACAACAATATGCATACTTTTTCTTATTAATTAAATAATTTTAAGTTCTGAAATACCTTTATAGAAATTTTTGTGTTTGGGTTGCATGAGTCCTGTTAATAATAATAAAAACTAGAAGTTACTATCGCAAGGAAAGTGCTGCCTCACCCCCAAGGGATCAAAGGCAAGGGAGCATGCGCAATTTGCTGAATAAGGGGCTGTTTATATATCCCGCTTACTATGACCACGCTGTGACGAGCCGAGATATACTATATACCGAGCCAAGGATTCGAGCTCGGATTCGGGCTTTAATTAAGTTTTATTATAGTCTAGGACCTGTACATGAGTTGGTATGTGTTTCATTTAGCACAGGTCATCTCAACTGTTTTAGGGTAAAATGACCATGGCGGTCGACATGGTATATGCGCCAAAACCTGAATCCGGGACAAAAGTCCTGAAAATGACCCCGCCCTGAACTGAACAGTGTCGACATAGCTCTAACTTTCGAAAAGGAAAAGCGATAGCCTTTCTGAAGTGCCTATAGTGCTTAGAAGGGTTGCTTTTAGGGGTGGTCATTGGAAGGAAAAATTTGTCTAAGTATTATATTTTACAAGAAAATGACCATGCAGCGCCCCAGGTAAATTGCTATTTATGCATAAAATAACTAATATGCCTGGCAGAAATTAAATTTTCTTATTTCCCAAAAAAAATTAACATGAGGATTGTCATAAGGATTGTAATTGTTTTCTTTAAATATAATACATTTTATTTTACTTACCTCCCCCTCTGCCCCCCATTGACGAAAACACGATTTCAGCCATTATATTAATTTTCAAATCAATGGTGTACATTTCCTGCAATCTGATTGGTTCACAGGAGTGCGATTTCAGCACAAATCGCACTCCTAACAGTGCGATTCGTGCTTAATCGCACCTTCTTTCAACCAATCACATTTGAGTGCTGACTTCAACCAACCAATCATATTTAATCATAGGATTCAAACAGCCAATCAATTTTAAGAAAAATGTGATATGCCAAATGAGCAAAAACAAAAAATTTACATATGTCATGATTACCCTTGAGTGCCTAAGCAAATTTTTGGTACATAAAAACAAAAAAATATGGATAGCTACAGTAAACTATCAAAGAATTGCAAAGAATTTTAAATTTTTTGAAATTTCTCAAATAGTAAACAGGCAAAAACGCCAACAAAAGCAAATCTTATAAAGCGTCTGGGAAAACAAAGCTCGAAACAAAGTGTCAAAGGTAAATTCGCCTATCGTATTTCCAATTTTAAACACACAAAACATTTTAACCATTTTTGCGGCAAAACTATAATAACTATTGTTCATCTTGTTCGCTTATTGTTGCTATGCTACAGCACTCAGGGAGGTACCAGAGGCACAGAATAGGAAGGTACTTTCCTATTTTGTGCCGGAGGTGTGTCTGCAAACAAGTGACATGTCACAATGCATTGTCCAAAATAAGGTGTTGTTCCATGCACCTTGCCACGCGTCAAATTTCTTCAAAAATGGTTTAAGAGTGGTATTAAAATTGACAATAATCCGTAGCGCAAGTATTCCTCATTGCATAAACTGGTTTTCCGTGGGACGAATCTTGAACAGAGTTAGACATTTTTATTAAAATTGAAGTGCTTCTAGTTGCAATATTTAATTTGTTAAGCGCGCGAACAAATTCGCTGCTCAAAAGCGGCGTCTTTAAGAGTTTTTTTTGAGGCAGTGGTAAATTGCAAATTTATATTCTATGTGAAGTAGAATCGGGCTTCACATTCCGAGCTCGATTCCCTGGCTCGGTAAATAGGTACCCTCTGACGTGCCGCACGGGATGAAATCATATCCATAGATGCGCGCACGATTGAAGCTGTCTATCCAGCTTTTGCACGGTCAAACATTTCGCCCTTGGCTTTGCCACGAAGACAGTTACAGTTACAATTGTGTTATGTAAGGTATGGGCTACTGTAGCGGACATGCGCAGTAACAGGGAGATTGAGACAGCATGTTGAGATTCTAGTTTCTGGTTGTTTTTCGACTGATTTTACATGTAATAACTTTTATTAAATTGTTATAATACAATTCGTCGAATTGTTATTACACTGGTGGCAGTTATGGAATCGAACAAGACGGAGGATATTCGAGAATTTCTACGCGATTTTGAAATATTTGTTGCTGTAAACGAATGGTCGGATGTGAAAGCTGGGCAATACTTGGCAGTGTTTTTGAAAGGTGATCATGCGAAGGCATTTTATCATCAACAATCGGACAAGGTAAGAAAGAGTTACAAATAGCTTTCACAGGCTTTGAAAGAAAAATACGAGGGGGGCTTGGCGTTGTTAAAGTATAAGGAAGAGTTTAATGCCAGAAATAGAAAGGACGGTGAGACATTACATTCTTATATGTCGGATTTGAGATTGTCGTACGAAAGAGCATACAGTCCACCTATAGTAGATCCATTGCCTGCAGATGCAAATGCAGATCAGAAAACTGAGCATGCCCAGCAAGAAGAAGCTTTAGTTTTTTACAACAGAAGAAAAGATGAGGATATATTATGCCAATTTGTAAATTGATTGGGGAAAGAGCTGAGAGAAGTTTTGATACGTCAAGATGATTTACTCAAGATATCTGTGGAAAGCGTCCTTAAGCAAATATCCACCTTGGAGGAAGAACAAGGTGTTACCAGAAAAGTTTCTGCTGCACAGAGAACAGGAAAACTGGAGAGTCATGTGGACGGTGCACAAAATATAGAAGAAGTGACACACCAACAACCCAGTCTGGAAAATAAATTAGATGAAATCCTCAAGAATCAGCGTACATTCCAAGCTGCAGCAGTTAAAAAGGGAGGTAAGAGATTTACAGGGAAACAGACGCCTGGTCCCAAACTCTCCGATATCTGCAGGGCATGTAACGGTCGTGGACATTGGGCACGCAACTGTCCTTCTTTAAACGAAAGAGGGGCTGGCCGCAGACCCCCCGGTTCAGCCCTAAAGAGTCAGAAAGGGGTCATGTACCCATATAGAAGCCCCATGCCATAAACTAAGATTAATACAGTACAGACCACCAGAGCACAAAGGGGAAGCTATCATGTGGAAGGAATTGTAAATGGGCTCAGAACAAATTTTCTGGTAGACACTGGGGCAGAAGTTAGTTTAATTTGTGCAACTGTTCCAGATTTAGAAGTTAGAGAATCCTGCATAACACCAGTTTCAATAACTAACCAACCTATTACAATTCAAGGTGAGACTGACGTGAATCTTAGTTTAGGGTCGTTAGAAACTAGTTGGAAATTTTTGGTTGTGGACAACCTTAAAGAGTCGGATTTGGGAGCAGACTTTATAGAAAGTCATTATACTACTTCATGGGGTATTTCAGATAACAAATTGTGGCTTGATGACGTAGCGATACCACTAATGGGTATTAAAAATGTTGGTATGGTGAGAGACGACAACCACTCACCAGTGGTAGCCAAATGCACTGTGGAACTACCAGCACCAAGCAATAATCCCATGCGTACTAAAGATAAGAGTTGTAAAAGTGGTTTATTTGAACCAACTAAAACACCAGGTGGAGTATTATTGAGCAAGACAGCAGTAGAAGGAGGAAAAGATGGAAGTTTTTGGGTTCGAGCTGTAAATTTGACTTCTAATCCTGTCACACTATTACAAAAATCAAAGAACCGGGATCATTTCAGAGATCGAGGACATGGCAGAACCACTTCATCTTAATCCAAGGGAAGAAACATCTACAGTTTCCAATGTCAGAACAGATCATGATTGTGCAACAAGTATGTTAAGTGCAATTGGTATGGACTTGAGCAAGAATGAGTTGAATTCATTCCAGTCAAAGCAGTTAGAGGAACTGATACTGTCATACTCTGATATTGTCTCCAAGAACAAGAGAGATTTAGGAAAGTACAAGCTCGGAGTGAAACATCGCATCCATCTAAAGCAAGAGGCTGTCCCGGTCAAACAGCCTTTAAGACGAATCCCATTTGGATATCAAGAGGAAGTAAGAAATTATCTGAAAACAATGCTTAATAATGGTGTCATTGAGAAATCGTCATCAGAATGGGCAAGTAACCAGTTACCCCTTGCCTAACATTACTGAGACACTAGACCGTTTAGCAGGAGCTTCATTTTTCACCTCTATAGATATGACCTCAGGATACTATCAAGTGGAGATTGCAGATGAGGACAAAGACAAGACAGCTTTTACATCACCATATGGACTATATCAGTATTGCAGAATGCCGTTTGGACTTGCAGGTGCATCAGGGACCTTTCAATCAGTGATAGAAGATATGGTACAGGTATTAGACACGGAGGACATGATAGCATATTTGGACGATGTGATCTGTTTTCATCGTACCTTTGAAGAACATTTAGAAGGAATTTCCAGATTGTTTCAGATGATCAGGGATTCAGGATTTAAACTGTCATGTAAAAAGTGTCAATTTGCTACCAGTTCTGTAAAGTTTCTGGGACACGTTATTGACAAGTCAGGAGTGTGACCACTTCCTGAGAAATTGGAAATTATCCGCAATTGGAACGCTCCCGAGAATGAAACAGAACTTCGCCGGTTCTTAGGAGTTTGCACGTTCTGGAGACAATTTGTAAAGGATTTCGCAAAAGTGGTGGTGCCACTACACAACTTGTTAAACAAGCCAGAATTTATATGGACACGCGAGTGCCAATGTGCATTCGAAGAATTGAAAGAAAGTCTATGCTCGTCCGTAACGTTAAAGTTACCTGATCGATTCGCCCGGTTTTCAGTGACCTGCGACGCCTCTGACTATGCAGTAGGGTACTACTTAGAACAAGACGATAAGTCAGGACAACGAAGACCAGTAGCTTTCGGGAGCAGAAAACTAACGAAAGCTGAAACAACCTATTCCGTCACAGAAAAGGAATGTTTGGCAGTCATCGAAGCTCTCAAAGCGTATCG